ATGGAGGTGCTCTACGTGTTCTATTTCAGACCGCGGCAAGAGATACTTCAAAGGAGTGAACCAGCCCTTCTATTCTCTTTAGCCCTGCCATTCTATTGTGAGGATCAGAAACTTGAGATTTTTGAAGTTAAATCTATACAGCGTGCCATTGAAGAACTTTTGATCTAATGATAGTCCTAGTACTCAATCTTAATGGTTTAAAAAGGTGATCTCAAATGTGCTAATTAATAAGTGCAGACGATGTCCTAAGTTATGAAATCGGACACAAAAAACGCAAGTTATGAATCGGACACAACAATTGAAGTATAAAACTACAATTGTATTTTAAGCCAATATTTCATTTCCATCTATTTTAGGAATTGTGAAAGTTATGCTATTTGAAAGGATTCGTACTTACGTGGAAAAAATAAATAATTGGTATCAATTTCGCTATAGAAAAGCTAAAAATTTCTTAATATTGCTTTGACTGTCGCATCAAAATTGCAGATCCGCCACCTTCGGATCTATACATATTTACTTAGAGAAAATAAAATATTCTGGTAGCTGCAAACATAATATTTAAAATAAAGTATATGGATATTACTGTCACTTTTTAATTTTTTCCAGGTACTACATTATACGAACCCTCTTTGAGGAAGAAATACGAATTACTTTAAAAAAGTAGTAAAAGTTAAAATCACAACAACTTCTAAGAAAAACAAAATCAATTGGCCGAAAGGGTTTTATTATGTACAAAAAATTTTGGGCGCACAGTGCAACTCAGGATATATATGAATAAATAAGAATAAATAAGAGTAAATATAAGAATAAATATAATAACAATAAAAATCAGCAACATATATACAAATGTCTTCTCAGACTGCAAGTCTTCTTAGACTGTAAAAAAAATAAATAATTAATTATTAATTTTTATTATTACAGAGTAATTTAAATAATATTTAGAATAATAATTACTAAACTTTTTTCTAATCTTTATATTCTATTATGCGGTTTGTAAAAAATAAACAAAAAAGCAAAGAATGGTTAAGAACGCTCTAACCTGTTCAAAACTCCATCAAATCTTAGCCCCAATGTTTCCTGGGATCGAACTTTTAAAGCCTTTAATGATTCATCAGCACTCCTAATATTTGGATTTTAAATAATTCCATCAGCCAATCTGGGCTATCAGGAATCAGAGAAGTGCTGATATCAGTTAGACAATTATCACCACCTTTTTCTCCTCGTTGATTTCCACGATCGTTTTTCGTGAAAATGGCTGATTCAGTTTTAGCTGACATAAAAATTAAAATCAAAATTACAGATCCAGGAATTAGAGAAACCAGCTTCTTATTCGCGAAAGGAGGTGATATTCAATACGTAAATTTAAATCTGTCAAATATGTTACGCAAGCATTTAAGATGTAATTTATATAATGAGTCATTGGATAAAAGAATTGTACAATCTTAAATTAAAAATTGGTATGATTACCCTAATATGATGTTTAAATGATATTGTTGTTATGAAAGAAGTTGCCGCATTAACCCATTTTGTATTGAAATTGTTATTAATGGAGACAATTTTTGGAAATTTTATTTTATTTCATAACCGTTGGTGAACAGCCGATCTAATTTTTGGGTCCAGGACTACAAATGTTTAATACCGTATCCTTGTAATTTTGAACCCAATCCAGAAAACAAGGGAACTCCCGTATCAAGTATTGAAAGAAATTTGCCTTCGTGGAGGACTTTTTGAGGGCCGCATTTGCTTTACCTGGAGAGGAAAACCACGAAAACCACCCATGGACAGCTTAACGGCAAGAGAACTGTAACCCACGATCCGTCTACCACTGAGAATATTTTACGTCAGCAGTGTGGTCGGTGCAAGCCGGAAGCGGAATTCGTATCAAACAGCTATCGCTGGGATTCGAACCCGGTTCACCTCATTGGAAGGCGAACGCTCTATCCCCTGAGCCATCACGGCTCAATTTTAGGATATTAGCGATTTCCAAAAAACAAAATTATGTGATATTTTAATTTATTAAAACAGATAACAATATGAAGGGGCATTTGAGTTATTTGTCTGCCTATAGTCACTAATAAATTTTCCTTGCATAGCCATTTCCATACTATCCGCATAGATTGTAGTAAGAAAAGTATATTTGGTTTAGAAATTTGCCGTTAGAAGTTAATTATAATTTCCATTCTGTTTTTTTGATGAATTAAGTTTCTTACGAAAAGTTTTAATTATAGTTTTCTTTTGCTCTTAATAAAATGCTGTTACAAAGGAAGCTAAAACCGAATTATCTATTTTATTGAAAAATTAAAATAAGACTAATTAAACTTGTGTTCAAACTTAACTTACATGTAAACTAAAATATATTTAAAGTTTACCTATTTTTGGCAAGTCCTCATTTTCAACCTAAAGGTTGAATCTTTTTTGATACCCGTAAAACTTGCCCTTGTTCTCGAAGAAGTTCCAATATTTTTGACCTTTCGGTTTTGGCAAATGGGAATAGAAATCGATCTTCTTTTTGATCATTCCTAAGAAAAAAGAAAAACAAAAGACGTTCAAGGGTATATCTAGTGATACATCTTGGTTATTATTTCAAAAATCAAGTGATTAGTAATTGTATATTACAAAAATAAGTGTTATTCAGTGTCAATTAAGTGTTAAGTACCTAAGCAAAAAATTATTCTTTTTTTTTAATAAAATTTTTCATGGTATTATTATGGGTACGATACAATATGCAATGCTTAGTAATGTTTAATCAGAACAAAAAAAAAATATATTTCATGCTATTAAGTAATTAAACTTTAAAAATCACATCATAATCTCTAACAAATATGCGAAAAACATTAACGCATTAGAGGGATTTACTTTAATCGAAATCGAGTGAATTAAAATTTGTATTTTAAAATAAAAAAAAATTTTATCACTAAAATCTTATTAGGAATGTTTGTACAAAGTGAAAGCTGATAAATGCTTTTTCAATCATAATTTCGAATTTACAATTCATTTCTTTAAATGAAAAGGTATTCCGCAACTTTTTTGTTGCGTGTAATCATTGTAATTCGATATTGTACAAACAAATCAAACTATACTTGTTTTTAAGATGTTCTCCCTTTTTACGGTATAAATTATGCTGATAATTTATGTTCAAAAATGTCATGTTCACTAGTTCTGGGTTCATCGTTTTTAGCATACTTTGAATGCAAAATAAATTTTTATTTGCCTAATAAAGAATAAATAAAAAGGAAGTTTTAAATCTAAGTTTTTCAAGGGAAATGAAAATATTAAAATAATTTTTTTTTAATCACACTGACTACGAAACACGTAGAGTGCATTACTTTTGAAATACGTGAGGGGAATTTATTGTGGAGACATACTTATTAAGATGGTGATATACTACGTTTTTAACTTTTTAGTGAGACCCAAATAGGTAAAAGAAAAACATTTTCTAAAAATTTTATTTGTTTTTATTGTTCTAGTTCATAGAAAACAGTTGGATTCTTGATTGTACATAATATTGCGATAAATTTTGTTATTGGCGGTAAAAAAAAAAAAAAAAAGGAAAACAATTACAATTTAAACTGTCTTCCAGCACATAGCTGCATCTCAAATTTTATTGCTTTAGCAATGTGGAAAAACTCGGAAATGCCAATTGCGAAAAAAAAATTTTTTCTCGATAATATTGCGATAAATTTTATTTGTAGTGATCTGAAAACGATTCTCGATTGCGTTATTTTACTTCACCTATAGGAAGCTGACTGCTTTAGCTAATCGAGAAGGGGGTCATACTTTTAGGTGCACGATTCCATTGCCGAGGGTACGAAAGAAAGTAAATAAAAAAGCAGTGAAAATATTCCAGACTTATCAAAATATATTAATAGTTTTATACTAACTCAAACTAGTTTAAAAACGAAGGATATGGATATGGCCACTATTGTTAATGTAGGAATTAGCTGTGAAAATAAAATTCAATGTGCAAAACATTAAACTACCTCATAAGTAATGAAATATTAATAATAATCAATTAAAATTTAAATTTAAAAAAATTTAAAGTCCAAAACTCACTGCCGAAAGACAAATTCAACAATACGCTGTTCTCGTTGTTGTTGTGGCATAAAGCTAGATGCTGTCACTCAGTTTATGTTTTTTAAATGTGATGGTGACAGTGTCATTGGAGACAGCAACTTCAAACTTTTTCACTCTCTTTCCCTTTCGGTAGAGTTTCACACTTGAACCAGGAATGACATCTGCAAAAGAGTTAAAATACTAAATAACTATTAATATTAACGCAGGGTCTCTACGAATATTACCTCCAGTTTTGAACGCAATACAAAAATGAATGAAATAAGAAGGCTATGTTTTGTTGCATGTAACAAATTTGAAGGGATTGGATTTATTTCAAACCAAAACGTTGTGGAAAAAAAACGTTGTTATTATTAGAATAGCATTAAATTTTTTCTATTAAAAACATTTCTCATGTAAATATTTTAATTATATTTTACAACGTAGGATTCTTTTTTTAGGGGATAAATAACGAGATTTATCTGTCTTTTTTATCGCATTAATTCCTAAAAATCATGTAGAACGTTTGTTTTCAATAACTTTAAAAAAAAAAAACTTTGTATTTTGTTGTTCAAACCTGTCCAAGTGTAACGTTTTATTGCACTGAAACAAAGAGATATAAAGTGAACAATTCGGCTTGAATGCATTTTGTCTAATACATTTTGTTCTAATAAGTATTCAGAGTTAAATAAATAAATAAAACAAGCTGTCGCAACCAGTAAAAATTGGAAGGAAAGTTTAGGGAAACAAAGTGTTTTTATTTTTTCCCATGTACGAAAACATATTTGATATTTGAAAGTAATGTATTTAAAATTGTCCAGCCCATCTCTTGAAATTAAAGAGATTTTAAAACCCTTTAAATTTAAAACAACTTCTCCCTGTAATAATTAAATAGTTTTACTACTACTCTTCACGTTTTTGGATACAGCTTTCACTTCAGAATGATTTCATCAATTGTGTGAAATTTTGGTACGTATACAGTTAAAAAATATATATTTTCAGTTTTTTCCCTCTAAATTTTAAATATCTCGATTCAAAAATCTTTATGAAAAAGCTTTCATTTATTTTAGTTGTTAATTTATGTATAATTGTAGACTAATAAGTTATATTTTATTACCAAGTATCACATTCATTGGACTGTATTACGTTTTAAATAAAAGTTAAATAATACTCAAAAATATATCTTCATTTTATTCCTATGTTTAGTTTAAAATTAAATATTAGCCATAAGTTATTGGTATAATAAAAGAACAAATATGCTTAGAAGAACTAAACTGTTAAACATGCAAAGAGGAACGGTAAGTTTGGCTACTTATTTTCAGAACTGATTTCCTGAAAATAAAATTTGAGTTTCATGTGTGTCACAGTAACCTGATGTAAAACACTGTAAAGTATTCGGCATTTAATGATGTCTTTCGGGAGTATGTATTATGTTTTGTAATTGCTTTTATTAATAGATAATGATAAATTTGAATTGCAAGATAAAAAAAAATTACATAATTTTTTAAATAAATTTTATATAAAACTAAACTCTCGGCACCAAATTCGACATAAGTTCCAGTTGTTTTTATCTTCCCTTTTGGTTATTACTTACCAACAGTTCTTCAGTTTATTAGAAGGCAATATACCCGAAAACTTTAGTACCACCTTCATAACTATTTTTTCACTTTATTTCTTTTTTCGTGGTATCAAATGCCACTTTTAATCACAGCAAGTAAATCTGATTTTGAGTTTCTAGAGATTGGTTCTCACAAATTTCCCCAAATCTATACCTGTCGCCATTTTGGAATTTTGTACCAGTTGTTTAATCTTTCCACCATTAGGTTGTTACCTACTGTTCATAAGAAGGCGATAAACCCAAAAACTTTAGTACCACCTTCATAACTTTTTTTTTTCACTTTATTTCTTTTTTCGTGGTTTCAAATGCCACTTTTAATCACAGCAAGTAAATCTGATTTTGAGTTTCTAGAGATTGGTTCTCACAAGTTTCCCCAAAATTATACCTGTCGCCATTTTCGAATTTAGCACCAGTTGTTTAATCTTTCCACCATTTGGTTGTTACCTACAGTTCTTCAGTTCATAAGAATGCGATATACCCGATAACTTTAGTACCACCTTGATAGTTTTTTTGCACTTTATTTCTTTTTTCGTGGTTTCCAATGCCACTTTCAATCACGACAAGTAAATCTGATTTTAAGTTTCTGGAGATTAGTTCGGACACTTCCTCATTAATTTCTTCAAATCCATACTTGTCGCCATTTTTGAATTAAGTACCAGTTGTTTTATTTTCCCCTATTTGCTTGTTACCAACAGTTTATGACAAGGCGATATACCAGAATTAAGGTCGAAAAAATTTGAATTGTCAGGTATAGAAAATTTACAAAATTTTATAGAAGGAGAAAAAAAAGGAAAAGGAGTCGAAAGTTTGAAGGGCTAAATATAAAATTTGAGCTCATTCGGTCCAAAAGTATTTGAGTTGTTAAAATTTAAAGAGGCTGTATTTTAAAAATTTTGAATCCACAAGAACTATTTGACCAATTTCACACGCATTTTGTAATTTGGAATTTAAATAATTTCATGAAAGTAATAAAACGCTATTAATAATTATTTTTTGCATATTTGGATAAACTAAATATAATTAGTTTTATCTATTTTTTATAACTTATTATTCAAAAAACTTATATTTAAATTATAGTAATTAAATTAATAATTATGTGCGAAACTTTTTCGCTGCTCTTAAAAAATTCTAGAGATTACACAAAAACTATTCTGGCAAATCACACACACACACAAAAAAAATAAATAAAGGGATTGTTGTTGAATTTCGTAACTAGAAATGCGATTTTACACTTACTAATTTGAATATTTAACAAAGGTTACCACAGTGAACCATTAAGATTGAGTTCTAGAACTTGAAATCATTAGATTAAAACTTATTCTGGGTGGTCCAATTTTTTTTTCTACGCTGCACGTTAAGGTGAGTGGAAGTCATTTCTAAATCCACACTTGTTATGAAAATGTTTATAAAAAAATAATGACAACTCACTGCTCAGCTTGATTTCAGCTTTCAGTGGTGCATTAGTGAGACCAGCTATTTTTGGTGGATGTATCAAACTATCATCACCACTGAAAAATTGTCTTATTCCTGATTCCTCCCAATCATTCCTGTACCACTCCGGTTCTTGCGACTCTACAAATGTGGAGACAATACGCGGAGGGTCTTTCACAACAAAATCACTCAATGACCTTTGGTCACCATGGCCAGATGTTATGCCAAGCTCCTGTAATTGAGGCCCATGGGTCTCTTCAACCACACTTGCTGCTGAAAGCAGCTCAGGCATAGTTTTTTTCTTTCTGAGAAAGAACGTAAACCATCCTGATATGCAAATTGCATTCATTAGGCGATTCATTTTCAAAGCTTCACCTTTCAATGCTAATTCAAAGATAAGAATGAGTGTTTTAAGAATTTCTTTTTACTTCGTCTATAGTATTGTTGACAATTATATTTCCCTCTAAGAATACTTTTTAATACCGACATTATTGAGACGCTCATTACATACGCTTTCAACAATAGCCTTGAACAATCATTCAAGATTTTTTAATTATTGCAAAACTTATATTTAAATTATATGTTAACAGCCGTTTGACATTATTGGAATTTTATATTTATATAATATACTGATCAAACCATGTTACCACTTTTAGTACCACTTAAATGACTTTTTTTTTCCACTTTACTTCTTATCCCGTAAACCCTTAATTTCAATTATTCCTATACGTTTCCCTTTCAGCAAGAGAAAATTTTAATTTATTATATTTTAATGATCCCCAATAAATTCTGCGCAGTGGATCTTAATTATTATTACTCAATATCCTAATGAATTTACACTTCTTTTTTATGATTTAAACAGTTAAAGAGTAATTTAAAAGTTCGTTCGATAGTGCCACTTTATACTTCAAGGAGGAATAACTGAGTAAAAATTTAGAAAAATGCATTTTTCAATAGTTCTTTTCTATTAAACTTATTGTACCAAAATATGGAATGAAAATTATTTTTGGAATTGATTTTTGTAAAAATGTAAATGTTACAGCATATTATGTCGAGTGCGACGCAGAAAGCGCTGTGACTTGTCTGAATAAGTCAACTTGTGCACTCAGTTGATTAATGAATTTGCTCAATCCCATCAAAATATTTCTGTGAAATACTATCATTCTAACTGTTTTATTGAAATAATTCATTTAAATTATGCCAGAAAGAGTGGTTTCAATAAAATAGCATAAATAACTGTAGCAAATTTTAATGGTGGACTATTTAGCTGCAATAAATCCTACATGCAACGAAAACTACGCTCATATTGTCTAAAACAATCAAAACGGAAAATTCGATTTTTTTTTTTTCAATTTATGGCTACAGCAAGTTATGGGTAATTTAAAAAATACTTTCTAAACATTGTATTATCTCAGATAGCAAAATAAGGTTTCTTTTTACTCAGCATAAACCTTTAAACGTAAACCTAAAAAGGTTTGTTATGCTGCTTACGTGCAAACCTTCTAACCTTACAACGAGATTGTGACAATCTGATCTATTTCTACGCACATTACCCTAATCCAAAACCTTGGAAAACAACCTTCAACATAAAAACCTTAAATCGAAGTTGTCTCAGGGTTTTTAAGCATAATAAAAAAACATTGAATAAGGCTAGTCTTAAGATGAAAATAATCTTAATTTAAGATAATTATAAGGTATCTTTTCGCAAAGTCTTGTATGTTCAGCTAAAATCCACATTGTCGTGAAATTTTAATGGACAATGCAATTTGATCCTATCGCTAGTGTGACGAAAACGTCATGATGAACCTAAGCGACCAGTTTACGTAAGTGATAATACTTTTTGAAAAAGGCTTTAAAAACAAATTTTAACCGTTTTAGGATGAAAGGTTTGAAACTGCAATATTGTTGCTTTATTTGAAAAAAAGGTTTTTAGTACAAACATTTTCGGAACAATGAAAGGAAAATTCTGACGCAAGGTTGCCGCATCCCTACATGCTTTCTGGGAAATTTGTATCCCATAATGTTGATTTTATTTTTTGCGTGATTCGCTATGCCTCGAGAATTTTTGAAACGAATAACTCATTTTTAAACACAATTATAAAATTTGCTTATCTAAAGATAATTTCATAGAAAAAATATTTTTTAATAATTATTTTATAAATATTTGGAGGAAAATGTGTGAATTGTAAGGTACACAAATTCTTACGTCATTTTTAAGAATGTAATTTTAAATGGAAAAAAATACAAAATTTTGATCTAATTGGTCGAACAGGTCCCGTGAAATTGAATTTTAAATATACGACTTCATTAATCACTAGTTTTTGACCTCTTGATCAAAAGTTATTTAGTGTGTACTATCTTTTTTTTTTCTTTCAGAGTATTGTACATAACATAGAAAAGTTTAAGACCTGTGCTATCCAATTTTATATTACAGTTGTCCAAACTTAATTGCACATCGGATAATCGAATAATCCGCTTATACAAATAAAATTTAATGGAACCAAATCATTTTATATGAAACTAATGTTAAACTTCTCTGTTTAAACGGATATTTGTTGTTTTTTGTCCCGTCCTAATTGCATAAAGAAGAGGTACTGAAATAATAAAAAAATAAAAAAATTATTTTTGAGAAATGTTTCACCTGCTAAAATGGAATATTTCCCTTTTTCAGTTAAGATATGGAATTAATAGGTGGTCACTTTAATAGGGACTTCCTGCTTAGCCATTGATCTAAACAGGTGTTAGGGGTAAAGTTGAAAAATTAATCAAATCTTACTGCCAGTTATACATTGAAGTAAACAAAGGGTTTTTCCCTTCTTTGACTTACTTCACTCACGCATAATTTAGAATGTTAAAAGGATACAGAGTGATTTATTTTGTTTTTTTGTTTACAAGAATTTAATATTTCTAACACACTAGTATACAGTGTGTCTTTCTCTTAACACGTTGAATGCCACGCTAATTTTACATGGCTTGCCCGTCTGTCTAAAGTGGTTTTTATGTGTTCTATATTGCATTAATTTCCTCAAACCATTTTAGTAACGATAAAAAAACTAAAAATTTACTCAAATTATGTTCAGCCGTAGTTGAATAATCTAACGATAACTTATTAGGAGAAATCTTTTCTTATTTGTTACTTGTTGATTTGTTACGCATGCGCTCTGAAACTGTTGCTAACTTTATTATTTGTTACTCTCGCTTCAGTTGGATTAACGATTTCGCTACAGCAGTTTACTTTGGCTTTAAGCGAGTTTCAGGGAGCAGAGCCTTCTTTTCCCAACTACTTTGGAAGTTTGAAGTATGTTCTAATTCAGTTTTTCATTTTAAAGTTTTTAATAAATAGTTTATTTTAGTAATTAGTTTTATTTCGTTATTCGATGGCTCATATTAGTTTAATTCATGTTAGTATTCCCCACAAATTATGTGTTTCTAATAATCTTGGCGCCAGTCACCGGTGACCTCCGTGGCACTACGAGCAAACTCAGTGCCGGTCACCGGTGACCTCCATGGCATTCAACGTGTTAAGTAGAATAATCATTGCTTAATCCAGTGAATAGCTCCGCGTTGGTTGCAAGTTGAGAGCTAAGAGGAATGATTTGAATTAATAGAAAAAAAAATTAATCTTGTAAACAATAAATTTAAAAAAATCGCTAGCTAAAATAGCACGTTAATTTGGAATTTCTCAAGTTTCGAGAATTGGGGGAAAAAATCATGTACAAAGTATGAAATGATCATGTATAAAATATATTCCCTTCAATCGTAAAAGAGTATTGTGTGTTTTATTTTCATTTTTGTACATATACTTTTTGAATACAGTTTTAGTCTTCTAAGAATTCTTCCATGGTGACACACTTCCAGTGACTTCTGTGACATGCAAGTCCTTCGTCACATTCAGACGCTGATATTGACCCGAGGATGTGATCGGGCATGCATCTCTCTCCTTCGCCTATAAAGAGCAAAACGATATTCACTGTAAGAACTTAGATAAAATATAATTGTAATCAGTTTAAACTTTAACTCTATAATTATCCAAATTAAATCGTGAAGTTTTTATAGTGCTATGGATAGTGTTTTCTATAAAGCATTGTTCTTTTTTTTTTTTTTTTTCCTTTTTTTTTCCAAAGGTGGAGTCTTGTATTATAGAATCACATAGAGATTATGTGAAAAAAGTTTTATTTTTTTTATTTTATATCCATCGTTGAACAGCAGACCCAATTTTGGGCTTACGACTACTAATGTTCAATTCCGTATCCTTGTAATTTTGAACCCAATCCAGAAGACAAGGAAATTCCTGACTCAGTACGTCCAGAGGTGTTGATTTGTTATGGGAACATGGAGGACTTTGCGACTCGACAGATTTAACGTGCATTAGTCACCATTTACTACACGAGGAGTCTTCGGCCGGCGACGATCGAACCCACGAACTCTTGAACATGCTCCTAGTGCCATACCAACCAGATCCTGTGAAAAAAATTGGGCTTCATGTTTGAATTCATTTCCAAGGCAAGCTTTCTAAGCGTACGAACACTTTTGAGAGCCATTGTTTATGGTTTGATATGGGCCTAATAAACTAAACGCTTCTGATATTTTTTTTTATAAAAAATTCCTTTTCTAATATACCTAGTAAAGATTAGGAACTAAACACTTTTTTTTTCTGAACAAACAAGATTTTTCACACAAACAAGTATGACAAGATTTTTCCAAATCACCGCAGAATGCTCCTTTGTTAAACCAATATGCTTTTCGAAATAAAATCATAACATGATCTATTTTATTTAAAACTATTATATGCTGTAACTACTTTATGCTGGGATAAGCGTACTATTTTATGTTGCACACAGCTAAACACAACTATATTATATTGAACTCTAATGTTAGGAAGGAGGTAGTTATCGACACTCCATTAAAACTCGAAGTATCACTTACCAATCACGAATTTTTTAATTTATTTACTTAGACATAGTGAACCAGCGATTACGAACTTAGAAGGGAAGAAAGAGAGATTGTAGAGGTAGATAATATTGTAGGCATAGCATCCCACGTTCGGAAATGCTATCGAGCAGCCTTCTCTTAATGAGGTGGCCCAGGTTTGAATACCAGCAATGGCTGGTCGATATGAACTCGCACCAACCACCGTGCTGACGTAAAATATCCCCAATGCTGGGAGGATCATGGTTTAAAATCCCCTTGCTGTCGAGCTAACCATGGGAAGACTTCGTGATTTCTCTTTTTATGCAACACAAATGAGAATTAGTTTCATCAAAAAGTCCTTCACGAAGGCTAATTACTACCAATGCTTGATTCAGAAGTTCTCTTGTCTTCTGGGTTTGGTAACAAGGCTACGGGGTTGAACTTTGGTAGTTGTACACTCAGAATTGGGTCGGCTGGTCAGCACTGGTTATAAAAATAAAATAAAATATTGCGTTTGAGCTGTGGTGCCTCATATTATAGAGCGTTTCCCTCCGAATGAGCTGATCCAGGTCCGAATCCCAGCTGTAAATGGCTGATACGAATTCGAACCGACCGCAGTGCTGGCGTTAAATATTTTCAATGGTAGACGGATCATGGTTTAAAATCCCCTTGCTGTCGAAATAATCGAGGGAGGTTTTCCTTTCCGTGTGACGTAAATGCGGGTTAGTTCCATCAAAATTTCTCCACGAAAGCTAGTTGGCCTCAATGATTAATTCAAAAGTATCTTTTCTTCCGGGTTAAGTTCAAAATTACAAGGCTACGGAGTCGTACTTGATAGTCGTAGTGCCAGAATTGGGACGGTTGTTCAAAGCTGGTTATAAAATAAAATATTTCATTCAAATATCCATAGAACTAACTGTTTTACATCCTTAAGGTTTTTCGGCTTAACTTGCCAAAATCGCCAAATAGATAAATAAATCAGTAAATGACGATAAACTTCAATGCTATGTTTGGCACTAATTATAGTTCGTTCACCAGGAGTTGGCACTTGGCTCATTTTAGCTAGGGAGTAAGAGGAGAAACTTCACCGCGCTTGAATTTGAGACAACCCTTAAAGCGCGCACAACGCAAACAGTGAATTCTTTTTCAGTCACTTACTTCGCTTTATCATCTGCTCTATTATACCTTTCGCATTCTTCTCCCAAAAATAACCAAATAGTATCGACGGATACCGCGTGATGAAGGCAGTGCCAAGTGACATCTCCTGGTGAACGAACTATACTAAGAAACGTAATTCAGACAAATAAAAGTATAGTTTCAATTCATAAGACACTCCTAACGACGTGCATAGGTTATGCAATTTTCAGTCCATATAATTTGTCCTTCTAAATTCATAACAGCCGTACATGAATCAACCAGCATATTTCCTCATGAGTTTGTGACCATTGTTATTTCTTCATGAGTTTGTGACCGTTGTTATTTCCTCATGAGTCCGTGATCATTGTTATTTCCTCATAAGTTTGTGACCATTGTTAAACTTACCTAATACTTTGACACAGATGTCACAGCACTTGCAGAAGCTTCCTTTTTCTCTGATTTTCTGTCCATACTCTCTCAAGCAGTTAGACAGATCATCACATTTCACTCCACTGCAGAAGTTGGGTGGGCAAACGAAGGCACTTGCAACTGCCACCACCACGGCAAATAGAACAATGTATTTCATCATTTTTTCTTTTTGCCCTCTTCTCTAAATTCAAGTGCTGAAACAGGAAAAGATTTATTGTCAAATCTCAAGTTCGAACATTTTTATTTCACAACCGTTGGTCGGTAAATATCACGTTATTTTTTTCTCACAACTATTAGTCAGTAAATTTAACTAATGATAGTTACACGGGTTCTGGAGATATTTTATGAAAAGAATTACTTGGTCACTATAGAGAGCTGTAATGAATAAATAGATAAATCATTTATTTATTAATCTCATTTTTCTTCTGTTTATATTCTATAGGGTCCACATACATCTTTATACATCATAAAATGATAAGTATCACGGACTCTTTTCTGACCAAAAAAAATGATATGATACTTAACAAAGAACGAAGATCCAAATAATTTTTGGCAGTTATCTGTAAAAAAGTAATAAAAATTACAACAAAATTTGTAAATTGTTTATTTATCCGGCATTTAATGGTTTTACCAGCTATATTTATTTATCATCCCTTATTAAATTTATTCTCAGATATTTTTCCTTTTTTATTACCCATTGGCAAAATGGGTGTTGTTTTGGGTTTGATGGCGTGCACACCTTATTTGAGCGTCATCCAGGGCCGGATTTACGTATAAGCTAAATAAGCTGTAGCTTGGGGCCCCAAGATGACAAGGGCCCCCAGATCCTACTTCCCCCCTCTTTTTTTAAAGTTTTATTCGGAGCTGGGGCCCTCAGAAGCCCAAAATGCATTTTTTTAATTTTTTACATTGTCGGACATAATAAATATAAATAAATGACTGAATAAAACAAAAAACTTCGTTGTCATTAGTAGGGAACATATCATCTTTCAAGCAATTTGAGTATTAATAAATTATTTATAAATAAGAAATTTTTTTGTTTAAAAGGTAAAAAAGTTTATTTTTTTACCCCATCATTCGATCATCAGACTATTTAATATCTGTTTCCAAAGATCCGAATTCCCTTTTATTATACTTTAAAATTGTACAAATGATATATTTAATGCTCTCATGTGATATGCAGCAGTTTTAAATAGCACTTTAAAATGTCTAAAAAAGGACAGAAATTGTTAGTTCAAAAAAAAAAAAAATTAACTAATACTTTTGAATAAGAATTTAAATAACTACACACGTTTCTTTTACTATCTCATTCTATATAGCATTATTTAGAGTAGACAGTTGCGTATGGGTGTGATGATGACGTAATAAAAGAGACATACAAAAAAGTTAAAATCCTCAATATTATATTTTTGAACTCCTCGAAAATGTAGTAAAAGAGGTATACAAATTAACTGTCGCAAACAAATTAATATTAAGTAAGAACGAATCAAAAATGATATCGAAATATGCTGAATCACAAATGAGACCGGGATGAAGGACATCGAAATCCATTTTATTGTAATAGTATAACTAGAAGGTGTTTCTAAAATTCTGAAATCTATCAGGCTTTAATTTTTTTTTCTGTCACAAACTTTATCAGTAGTTAAAAATAATAAATTCGTTAGATTTCAATATTGGTTGTTTTTTCGTTGATTAAATGTTAAAAATTAACAGATATTTGTCTTTTTAAAACATTTCATTCTATAATAAGATAATTATTCTACCATTGTAATTGTCGAAAACTAATTGCTAATTGATATAAAGCCTAGCCACTATACACCATCAAGAGCAGAGCTGATACTTTAAACTCGTATGACATTTATTCTCTCTGATATTTAATAGACCCTTTAATAAATCCTTAAAAATATAGGCCAAAAATTTACACAAATAATGAAATTTTTTTTCTTGTACAAAAATTTAACAAATGTACTTAAAATAATTAAAATGAAAGCAAAAATAATGAAGAAATATTTTCAATATAAACATCAATTAAATAATATCAGCTTACGAAATGGTCTTTTTATTTTTACAAACAGTATTAATATAACGGCCCTCACCTGCTCCAGGGACTGCTGAATTGGGTTCAAAACGACAAGGCTACGGAGTTGAATATTAGTAGTCATAAACTCGAAATTGGGTTGACTGTTTAACGACGGTTATAAAATAAACTAATAAATTTAGCCGGGATAGCCTGGTTGATAGGGCGTTGGACTCGTGTTCGTGAGAATGGGAGTTTGAATCCAGCCGGAAGAAGAATACCCATGTATAAAATGGTGACTGGTGCATGTTAAATCTGTCGGGATCACAAATTTCTTCGAGTTCTCACAGCAAATAAATACCCCTGGGTACTAATCTGGCAGTTCCCTTGTCTTCTGGATTGGTTTCAAAGTTACAATTTAGTAGTCGTAACTCGAAATTGGATCGGTTGTTCAACGGCGGTTATAAAAAAAAATAAAACTAATAATCAAATTGTATTTTCTTGTTTTTCTAACTCTTTGCATATTTTCTACGCACTTTCAAAATTTCATATTTCTAAGTCTTATAGATTTTGTAACGTAAAAAAAAAAAAAAACAATTGAGAAAAAAATTTCCGAAAAAATCATTAAAAATTGCAAATTAAATATATTCAAAGTGAATATAAGAAAGAAACTCTGTTAAATATATAGTGGCCCAGCACGCCACATTTTTACTCTGTGCTTAAAATGTGTTTCTTTTGTAACTTTTTTCCCTCGTTCAAAAAATATGTGCAATAAAAGAAAAGTTCTACATAATAGTCTCGTCACAATTAATATATTTAACAATAAAGTAATATTGTCAAATTTTTTAATGATATAATGTTAATACTCAACAATAAAAAATAATGACAGTTAACTTTAGGTGTATAGAAATGTAATTGAACTTATAAGGGCCCCATCATTTTCAGTAGCTTAGGGCCCCACCAAGCTTAAATCCGGCCCTGGTTCCACGTTTAAGATATTTCCTTGTTTTGATATAGAAAGTAGGAGCAAGGTTTAATTGCATTTCATTTGCCTTATTAAGTATTTAATTTACGCATTGTTATTTGTTTTTTTTAAGATTATCAATTAATATTAACTCAATTTAAAACTTAAATTTATGCTTGGAACGGCCTTACCCAAAGGACATTAAACGGCTATTATGCTCCCTTCTTAATTTCAGTAAGTTTCACGTAAACACTGAAACTATAATTTAAATTTAATTATCAATATTTTAATTTATTACTGTTATTACTATTTTACCTTAATTATTATTATTATTATATTTTTGGATGTATGAGTTGCCGATAGATTCAAGTAAATAGCTTTACAATACATTTATAGTTATTATAAAAAATGGAAATTAGCACTAACGTTAGTTAGATTTACATTAATACCAAAATATAGCTCAACAAATAAAAATAATATTTCAGAAATTGAAGATTTTTCCATATTAAAAAGTTTTATGAGGCTCCAGACTACTTATCAAGATTTTAAAATAGAAACTGTGTATTACTATAATTTGATTCTGATTTTTGCCAAACGTAGCATTTATAATATTTTCTTAACCCACTTTCGAGTGTATCTATGGCTAGAAGA